GGAGGGGGTGAAGAGAGGGCAGGGGAAGGGGAAAAAATAAGAACCAAGATACTCATGTACAAGATCCCAATGATGAATGTAACTGTATTTTATACCGAAAATGTACCAATAAACTTAATGGGAAAAAAAACCCGCCAGCAGAAATGCTCTTGAACTTTCCAGTGTAATTTTCTTGACGAAACATGAGACCAGAAATTCCAGTTCTGCCCCACCCAAGTTAATCAGTGACTAACTCTAGCCATCCAATATGAACTTACTCCTTTAAATTGGCCTCCCTGACTCATGGCTTGATCCCTTTCTTTTGGGGTCACCAGGCCCTTTGAAGTAAAATAAAAATGAGGATGAAGCAATGAGATGGGACATGTTTACACTGCCATGAGATCATGCTGAGCTCTCTGATTCAGGCACCAAGGCAGATCCAGAGGAGGGATGGCAGGTGTGTCTTGGTGTAGGAAGTTCCCTGCTGACAGCCAACATGTGGGCAGCAGTTTTCCTCCATGCAAAATGGACCAGCAGTTCCTCAGGTTTCCTGGGTGGAGCTTCGGTAGAATGGTCCAGCTTCTGTGAAGAAAGGCCACCAGCTCACACCAAATGGACCAGTACTCTGAGCCAGTGAAGGATGACGATCCTGACAACCATCCAGTGAAGAGTGGAGAATGCCAAGACATCCATTTATACAGGAGGAAGGGGTTCAGAGTGGCTCAGGGTAGCAAACTGCTGGGGCTGAGACCACAGCACTAATTGCTGGTGGGGCTGGAAATAGAACTCAGGTCTCCTAACCCAGCACTCAGACTCTTTCCACTACTTTGCCTCTGAGTTGGATCACAGGAACAGGTACCTGAATATGCTTGGCAGAGGGCCCTTCTCTCAGACATCTCTCTTTGCCCTGATCAATTAACTCAAAGGACTGGATATAGACCCATTGGATTGTAAACATTTGTAAGCAGAAGCCTTGGCTCGGTATGTCTTCAACACCCCACCCAGGTCTGGTACATGGTAGACACTCAACAAATACCTTGAATTGCCAAAATCCATTTTGCAGATGGAGAATTATAGAGAACAAGATGGAAATCCCAAGGCTTGCTGCTGAAAGGGCTGGAGCTCTAGGCTCTGAGCCATGCTGTCCATGCACTGGCACACAGGTAACCTCTCCTAGCTGGAAACCCAGCTCAGTAAGCAAGGCAGCCGGATTTACGCTGGGGCCTTGGAACTGGGCCAGAGTTGTCCATACCAACTACCGCAGATATAGTGTCAGTCTAGGTGAAGGAGAGGCTATACAGGGTTCCTAGGCTCCTCTTCTTATCAATTCTCCCCTAAGAGAAATGAAGGTTAAGGTGGACTCTTGCTTCTGTCTAGTTTTGGCATAAAGTGGTTCTCTCTACCCTGTACTGCTGAGTCCTGGGGCAAGTGGTACACATCTCTCTCTTGTGGTTTCACCAGAGACAGTCTCTCTGAGCCACTATCTTGATAAGCCATGTTCTAAGGATGTTTTGGTTGCAGGGAGAAAGCCATGGGAAGAAGGATGGAGATTCACTCCCTGTAATGGCTCCGACCCACATGTAGGCAAAAGCACCACTGTGGATGGAGGCATGCCAGGGAACTTGGGCCACAGCACACCTGGGTACAGATGTGGCTTGTCATACGAGCAGGAGTTCTCAGCTCACCCTCCAACCAGCAGGGCCACTAAATCCTAGTTATTCTCTTAAAAGTGTATCTTTCCATGTCATCTACGTTGCCCCAATTTGCCTGTACATCCCATATCCTTCTCATTTTCATTCACATATGTACTCTGTAAACTAGCAAAGACTATTTGGAAACTAAACAATTTAACTATTGCCCCCCAAACCAGAAAGTATGTGGGCACCTAAGGAATCATATAAAATGCATCAAAGAGGTATGTTGTGAAGAACAAGCCCTCCACCACTTCCTGGGTCAGACATTTCCCTGGTGGTTTCCTTTCTGGTGAATATTCAGAGCAGACACTCATTTTTAAATGCACAAACACCAAGCCCAATTATTATTATTTTAAACCACTATAACAAGTAATTTTTGGATTGTGTACCGTTTTGAATCTCCTGTACTTCTTCCTCTACCCTTTATAATATAGCCCGTAAAATATACTGAATTCCTAAGTAATTTAAAAATAGCCTATCATGCACTCTCCTTACAGTTGGTTAAATCCTTCTGGTAAATACATCTTGTCTCTATAATAAAATGGAAACCTTGACAGGCTGTAGAATCTTGTGTATTTTTAAATTTAATTTTTCTATCTTCTACAATGCCTGGCTTTGAGTTTTGCACAATTGTAGGCATTTTTAAGGTTAGTTTAATTGAATTTGACCTTTATATTAATTCTTAAAAATGGTATGTATGATGGGTTGACATTGTAAAAGTGCTCATGAATCTGTTTCCATTTATAAAAAACCACTCAAAACCCCTCTATAAGGGTACTCACTGGGGCTCTTGATATCAGCTGACCTTCCTTCCAGTCTGGGCCTCTAGCTGGGGCCTCCTTCATCCCCATACCAAAGGATGTGCAGTGAGCCCCTTTCCTGCTGATGACTCGGTGACCCCCACACTCTGTCCCTCCTGCCTCAGGGCTCTAGGTTTATGATTCAGAAAATAATGGCAATGAAGGACAGAGAGGTGACTGGATCGCAGTTAGGTAGCCCACCCAATAGCACCCCTCCCCCACATGCACATACCCAAGCAAGGGGGAAACCTAGGGACATACGTCATCCACAAGAAAAAGAATATCTTACCTGTCCAAGAAAGGGGCTCGGAAAGCAGGTGGGAAACAAGAGAAAGAATTTATGTAGTGACCAATCACTTTGAGAGTGTCACTTCCTCTCTGGCCACCAGCAAAGACATATGAGAGAGGGTATATAGCGTGCCAGACAGAGGCCTTGATACCACAAGCACAACAAAACCAGGATGACCCAGTTTCCAGAAACTCTTCAATAACTAAGCCAAAAGGTTGTGTTTTAACTCTATGAACAGGCTCTGAGAGATTCAGCTTCCCAAAGTTTCCCCCATAGCTTGAATCCTCTTTCTATCAAGTATATCTCAAGTTCCCAGTTGGCAGTGGGAGGCACATGGTGGGTTAGAGCAGAAAGAAATTTAAGTCCTCTGGGTCCTGTGTACATCACTTTACATGTATGTTATTTTCCACGTGGAAATCACTAGATCTTAGCCAGGAAGACACTCATCTACTCCAATTCAGAGTCCAACACTCTGGAAAAGCCAGTGGGAGAGAGTTTGGCCACTATCACACAGGCAACTGATGGATAAGAAGGATTAAAAGTCATGTATCCTGACTCCCAAACTCATGAACTTCCTCTGCACCACAATGGCCCTATAAAATTGCCAATATCTAAAAGTTGTCAAAGTACGTGACTTCAATTTACATTCCAGTGAGTTTCTAACACCCAAACCAAGCCACAAAACTGGGGCAAATCATGTTCTGCCATTCTCCTTCAAATGTTTTAGAATTAGGAATAAATACAGATGGGAAGACAACTCTGGGCTCTTCCATCTAGAATTTGACACAATCAACTCATGCATGCTCCCCTTCACCGTGGAAGGAGCCATCGGCATTGCTGCTGTCAGAGTAGACTCTATATTTAGCACCCACGGTAAACATATCACCATTTAGAGCTGAAGCACTGTTGTATATCTAGTTGACAGGTTGTGATGATGCAGAATGGGGCATCTTCAGCTCATCTACAAAATGTCATAATCGTCTTTCATTTGTATTCCACATTCCACTAGTGTTAGGTTATACAATGGAGCAAAGCTAAGAGAAGAGACAGCTCTGATCCCCTGGTATCCAAAGAGTAAAATGGTATCCATTGGTGTTTAGTCACTTACAGAAAGGAGCACCACCCACTGAAAACAATATGCGGTCTCTATTCTTAGGAAAGGCACATTGAATTACTAAGGATAAAAGGGCATAATGTTTGTAACTTATCCTTTAACTGTTCAGAAAAAAAAAACTGATAAAGCAAATGGGGTAAAATGTTAACAATATGAAAATCTGAATATGGGGTGTATGGATGTTCTTTGTGCTAATTTTATTTTTGTAAATTTTATAAATTTGACATTATTTCCAAATAAAATATGAAAATATCTATATCTATATTCATCTTCCAAACAAAAACTCCCAAACTAAATCAAAACCACAAAAACATTTGATGGCAGAAATTAGGCAGATAAAAGAAAAGAAAGATGATCATTCAGAGAAGACAGGCATTCCCAGGGCTGGGGAATATGGTAAGTCAATAGAGAAAAGTAACAATAAGAAAGAAAAAGGGGGCAAACAGACAGCACTGCTATCCTATCTGTACTATATTCTTCCTTCTCTTATTTTCAGCATCAAAAAATCTTTAAGCAATTAAAGAAAAAACAAAAATTCTTGCTTGGGATAGACCACATCCATCTTTCACAGGAGTAACCTATCGGGTGAGTGGAATCATGGGACCTTGTGATGTCATCTGCACTCAGAATGCTCATTGCCTGGGCAACCTGGCCAGTCTCTTGTGAGTAGGTATGTGATCTCCATATCCTTGAGGAGGTCAGAATATGGAGAACTTCTCATTCCTCAGCATCTCTGGACCTCGAATCTCTTCCTCTGCCCAGAGCACTTTTCCTGGCATTTTGTCTTCATGTGCCACCAGCTTGCCAGGTAAATTCTGGTGTCACTAGGGCCACAAAGAGTGGGGTTTTGAAGCTTTTAATTGAAGACCCCATGAGATCATGTTATAGGACCATGATTTAGTGAGAAAGCTAAATTACACATGGGGAGAAAATAAGCTTTCAAAATGCTCCTTTCCTGGTAAGTAATTCTTGCTGTTAAATCATTTCTGGCAAGGGAAGAATAGGGAAAATATTTCTTATCAAATTTCTTTCCCCTGGAGTGGGCACTAAACATCAAGGTAATGGTCTGTCTACACAGAGTAGGTACTTGTTTTAGCTCTCTTTTGATGACTAAAAAAGATTTAGACTTCAACCATCAGTGGGTGGCTAAAAGCAGAGTAACTTGAGGAGTACATCGTGGAATAAAGTTGGACCCTGAGTACTTGCTATTCAAAATCTGGCCCCCAGATCTGTAACATCAGCATCTCCTGGAAGCATGTTAGAAATGCAGAGTTTCAAGCCCCCACCCCAGACCCACTGAGTCAGAATCTGCATTTTAAACAAGAGCCCCAGGTGATATCTTGCACTTTAAAATTTGAGAAGCACTGTTCTGGGGAGTGGTTCTCCTTAACATCCTTTTGACTACACAGGATATTTAAAAATCTGCCCCCCCCAAAAAAGGTGCCCAGCGACTGCCCTGGGATTTGAGGGAGGTCTACTTCTTATGCAGATACTGCAAGGAACAGGGAAGGCCCACATGACCCCTTTCTGGCTCGGGGTGTGAGATACTAGAGAACCGGGATTCTCCTGGGTATCAGAATGTGCAGAGGCCCGAGATGCAAGGTGAAATCACACATATGCTGAGCTGCAATAGGGTCAGCTGAGGGTGGGCCAGGCAGAGAGGTGTCCTCTGGGCCACATTTGAAACCTCTCTTTCCAGAGGATCTTTCTAAGGTCTGAATAAAACTGCCCCATTTGGAATTCTCCAGGATGGCATCCACAATAGCTCTGCTTGGCTGGTTTTCAGAGGTTGTTTTGCTTTGGTTTTGAGATGCTGTGATGTGCAGAGGGTGAGCCTTTGGATATATCTCAGGAGCCTTAAGGAGAGGACTCCCAGCCTTGCTCAGCTCACCAAAGTGTTTCTTCTGTAACTCAGATATTGCAAAGCCAACGGTACCCAAGGAGGCTGCCAACCCAGCTCAGTCCCTGCCACTCCAGTACCAAAGGAGCGCTCTCCGGCATGGTGTGCATAGCATAGTGCCCCTCCCAGGTGAGGCCTTCTCTGACTCTGAGTGGGAAAATGTGGGAAGCTGAGGTTGAACCTAAGGAAGGGGGTCTGCAAGCTGCTCCCATGCACTGCTCTTTCATCGGAAGCCTCTCAACTGCTCCTTCCCCTGGAAAGACACACAGGCCTGTGGACGCCTCTCATCTCTCCTCTCCTGTTTCTCAAGCTGATCTGGAGAAGCGATTTCTGTCTGAGGGGGTTATTGAGGGATCAAGATGGGCAGTGAGGCTGGAAAAATGGTTACAGCCATCAGTGACAAAAAGAGGGACAGTAGGAGTCTGCAGTCTGGCTGTCCATTTGGCCAACTGTCTGGGCCTCTCCTTAGAGGAGTCAGAGAACAAGGTGTCTCCAGGAAGGGAAGGACCTGACACACACCAAGGCTTAGTAATTGAGAGGGGCCTCTCCTGTGTGGACATCCAATGGCCATTTGTACCAACAGAAAGAGAAAGCAAAAACAAATGCCTCAGACTGCCCTCCCCAGCTTATCTTCTGGCTGCCCTCTGTCATCATCCGGGGGGGAGGAGGTCCCCTGAGGTCATGCCTAGCTGCCCATCTTTTTGCTTTTCTGCTTCTCCTGATGGCTGCCCAGCACAACAGCTTCACTGCTGCCTGCTGCTCCCTGCCCTTGACCATGGCTCAGATGTAGCCCTTTACTTTGCAGACTGCATCTCAGGGGAAACTCCAAACGGGAAGCAGCTGAGGCAGAACTGCATCATCTACCGGCCTTGGTTCTCCCCGTACAGCTACTTCGTACGCCTGGACAAAGAAAGCCACCTGGAGGCCTGCAGCCTCCCAGAGGTGGAACAGGTCGAGTGTGGAGGGGCCAGCAGCCTTCTTGAAGATGTGGCTGACAGTAGCTGTTCCTCTTCTTCCTCTCCAGAGAACACATGTCCCCTGGAGTCCACCAGAAAAGTCAGGCATAGCCTGGACTCTGTGGATTACATCACATCCCAGGACATCCTAATGGCCTCCAAATGGTACCCAGCCCAGCAGAACGGCTATAAATGTGCGGCCTGTTGTCGCATGTACCCTACTCTGCATTCTCTTAAAAGCCACATCAGGTGGGGGTTCAAGGAGGGCTTCAGCTGCAGGGTGTATTACCGCAAGCTCAAAGCCCTCTGGGGCAGGGAGCAGAAGGCCTGGCCTGGGGATAGGCTCTCTTTGGGCAGCTGCCAGGCCTTCAAGTAGTCACCTCAGGTAAATAGGAGATGAAGCCTATTGATGTCTCTGGAGAGATGCCAATAAATCAGTCACAGCCTTCTGTCAAGTCTGGGGTCACCTTGTGCCACCTGCCATCCTTCCCAGGGCCCATTCTGTCCTTATTTCCTTCATCTAACAGTTGCTTAGCAACACCCGCCCTACCTCCTTCCATGCCTCCTTCTCGCCTTCTCTACCCACCCCCTCCCTTCTCTCTGAAATAAAGACAATGCCTGAAGTTTGGGAATATCTTCTCAGATAGTGGTTTGCAAAGTAAGGTGCCCATACGAGCAGTATCCGTGACCCCCTGGGACTTTGTTAGAAACGAAAGTCTCAGGGCCCCCTCAGCCTTCCTGAGGTAGGAGCTCTGGTATGGGAGCCTGGCTTTTTGAGTCCTAACTAGCCTTCCAAGTGACTCTGAAGCAGGTGAGAAGTGAGCACTATGAGTCCAGGATCCTGGCCTTCTGCTTGGCCTGTATATGGTCAGCTCCACCTCCACCCTCCAGGAGGACAGCAGGCTGGACCCCTCCTGTGTGACAAGAGGAGATCAGCTGCAGTCTGAATGGGCTTCCTAGAGGTTAGATCTTCTGACAGGTGGGATGGGGAGAACATCTCTGCCTCCTCAACAGGTGGGCCAGTGTGTGGGTGAAAGGGCCACCCTCAGCCCCCGTGGCCATACAGTAACTTCCTGGAGCCTTACTTTGTGACTCATCATTGTGCTGTTAAAATGTCATTTGTGGTTCTCTTCTTGCTCACAGAGAGAGGATCTGGGCTCATACCCCTATCGCTTCCTGTGCTGCACGACCACTCCTGACCCCACACACTCCATCCCTGCTTCTCACCTTGTTCCATCCCCACCCTTCCCCTTCCAGCCAGAGTCCCATCACTGCCCAGTGGGTGCTTGTGTTCAGTGTCTTCTCCCTAAACACAGATGCTTTCTACATTTCACACCTAATGTGCTGAGTGTCGCCATAACCTTGGGAGTTTCCTTAGTATAGAGCTCCGGAGAAGGTCTCAGCACAGTGGGAAAAGGCATCTGGCAAACAACCCTACCACCCAGCACTGGTGCCTGGCTCAGGAAGCTAACTGCAAGGTAAATGCTCCTGGACTCTGGGTCGCTGCCAGGTACTCTGCCGGGTGCTTCTTCAGGGCAATCTCATTTATTCTCATGACAGTTTTTTTGTGGTATACACTATTCCATTTTACAGACGAGAAGAAGGCACAGGAACCTGGTTTATTAGACCCTCCAGATTTTCGTTCTGGCCTGGGCCAGAGAAAGCATCAAGCCTAACCAACTCTCTGCTTTCAAAATAGCTAAAAATTCCAGCCAAAGCTTCCAGGAATAAGGAAAGGTAGAGCTGTTCTGTGAGATCCTGCAGCTTATTTTCCAAATACTCCTTCCTTTCCCAGCATTGTTCTTTTTCACTTCTCCCTGTTCCAGGGATCGGGATTGCTGTGCTGCACTGTATGGGAAAGGCACCATAATACTTCCAGGTTAGGACAGATAGCAGCACTTTTTGCTTCTTGTATGGACATTTTCAGAATGGGCCCATTCAGACTCCTATCAACTACTATTATCATATTCAGTTGGGAGTCAGTGAAACTGTATAATCTTGATCTTACTTATGTTAGAAACCAGGATGCAGTACATTCTAAAGCACCCAACATTCACTGCTGCTGCTCATGTATTCTAATGATATTCGGAGCTTGAAAAGATCTGGGGTCTGAAAAGACTATACACATGGGGTGGACTTTCCTGCCTTGGCTCTACGGACACTGGGCTGGATAATTTCTGGCAGGGGGGCTATCTTGTGCACAAGATATTTAGCAGTATCCCTGATTTCCATCTACTATGTGTTAGGAACATATCTACGTTAGCTGTGACAAATGAAAATGTCTCTAGACACTATCAAATATCCTCAGAGGAAACAAAATTATTCCCAGCTAAGACTGGTGGTAAAATCCGACCAGTAGTGTAGTCTGACCCTGTAAGGCTGTCTGTATAAACCCCACTGCGGGCACCACCTTGCTCCCCTCCTTCAGGGAACATGCGAATCCCTTAGTGTCACACCCTTGGGAACCATGTCACAGAGCTGATCCCTCCTGGCTTGGGAAGTGGGTGGAAGTGAGAGGCATAGAAGGAGCAAGTGAAAAGAAGAAGCAAGAAAAGACAATGGAAAAGCTTTTAGAAATAAGAAAGGTTTATTTAGCAAAAGCCACTAGTCTAGTGACAACGTCCAAGGAGTAAGTGCACTTACATTAGCAGAATCTTTTCCCAGAGAATTGATCCAACAGAGTTAATGACACAACAGTTTTGGGAAGTAGAGGGCTAGAGGGTAGGAGGGTAGGAGGAAGCAGTCAAGCAAAGAGTAAATAAAGCAATACAATTCCTAAACAAGATCAGTTGAGAGAAGTGAGCTACGAAGAGGTTTTACCGATAGCACTAATACAGCAGGGATATAAGGAATATAATTTTCAGTCCCCATATACCTGTGAGACCTTGTATGACCAAGAGTCTGTTGGCACCTGAAGCAGGTTAGGGCAGGCACCAATAAGGGAATGGTCCTTGGTGTCCACATGTTCTCCATGTAGGACAGAGTAGAAGCATAAAAAAAGGGAAGGCAGGGTTGAGCTAGCAGATTGAGAAGCAAGGAGGGAAAAGGACAGAGTGATGTCACTGGGAAATCAGATCTGTAACATTCCCTTCCCTTCCTGTCCAGTTGGCCTCAAGGGAGGGTTGGTGGCTGGTGACCCTTCCAAGCCCCTAGATTTGTCCTTGGTCTCCCATCTCCACACACCAAGTGTGCATGCATTTGGGTCACCCTGCGGAGGGTGCCATACAGGCATGAATACTCCAGGGGAGCTTTGAATCAGGGAACGTGTAGGGTTGAGGCAAAAGTCCTGAACACGTCCCAGCTTAACATCATATGTAACTAGTCTTTCCATTTCTCTCATCTTGCCTCTGTTTCCTTTCTTCTTTCCCTTTGCAAGCTTTTCAAGACCGTTTGGAAATTGTTCTCCCAATCTATTCCCTAACCACATCCATACAAGGCTCCTCCAACCACAGTTCATTCATCTAATCCACTGGCCTCTGGTTCTATCCTTAACTCCTGCTTGCAGGTAGTAGGGCTCAAAAAAACAGACCTTCTACCTTGGTCACTCAAAAGCCTGATGGTCTCAAAGGTCCCAGACTCAAGAAACCCTGGGTTAGGATTTCATAAGCTAAGGAGGCTCAGCCAAACTGAATTACTGATGGCTGTTCCTTTAGTTCTGTGGACCTCATATTCCTGGTTCTTCCTTCCCTGTGTGTTTGGACCCATTTCCAATGCTTAATTAGAAAATGTAGCCAACTGAACCATGTCTCTCCAACTAAATGCATGTTAGGAAAAGGACACAAATCTGTTGTTGATTCAGTCACCCACAGATCCCCTTTCTCTTCTCTTTAGTCACTTTTCACAAGCCTACAAACATATCCTTCTTTCCCTTACACAGGTACACATACACACACGTGCATGGCACCTTCTGGTCTGGAAGAAATCCAAGCAAGGCTATAACAGAGGGCAGCACTTGCATTTATATCAATTCCAAAGCAAAGGTGGGGTTGAAGAACTCCATTTGGGGCAACTACATCCTTATCAATGGGCCCTCTAATATAACAGTACTGCAGGCTGGTCTGTAGCTTGTGGTCTAGGAGGAAGACTTCTTCCCCTGAACATAACACTCAAGCATATCTCAGTGCTCTCTTCAGGCATCTGAAAATCTATTAACAGCCACTTATGGATTTATAGGGGCAAAGGAGCTTTTCTTCATAGGCCCCGCCAGCCTGTTACCAAGTGGACATCCATCCTCCCTAGGCCGGGCCAACCTAATAAAAGATAAAAGAGTTAGTTGCACATAGAACTTTTCACAGGTGTGCTCAAGGCATGCACCCACAGAGAGATGGGCCAGGATGGCATGACTGTGGTCTCGAATCTATGTGGCAGTGATTCTTGAAGAGTAGATATAAGTAGTCTCAACTGTCAGCTTATGTCCATTTTTGTTTTGTTTTGCAGTAAAAACTGAGCATTACCATCCAGAGGAGGAGACAGGGGGACAGGTAAAGCAGGAGGCTCTGGGTCTCTGAGCTTTCAGAGAGGCAAAATGCTATCAAAGGTTTGGCTGGCACAGCCCATGCGGCAGGACACAGCCGGGAGGCAGGGTACTTCCTGCCCTCTATTTACAGCAGCCAGTCTGCAGGCAGGAGGCGGGCTGGGCAGGGCTTCCGAACTGAAGAATCAGACCTAAGTGACTTGTGGCAGCAAACAGGCTGTCCTGAGCCTGGGCTCTCACAGCAGGAACTGAATGATGTTAATGCTCTCACACGCCCTCTGAACCAACATCCTGATAGAGAAAATTTTGTATCCTGTTTCCTGCAATAGTTTATCCCCTGCAACCTGTGACACATCTCAATCCACACACCAAAAGCAACAAATAGCCTGGCTCTTGCAGCCCAGAACACTCAACCTCTACAATCTCAGCAATTCCCCCTGTAAGGTCAGGGAAGGATTAGGCAACCGGTAGTATCCTGATATCCAGAAACAGAGTACCTGAGAGGGTACCAATGGCTTCCCTTTGTGGTCCGGACCATGGAGACGGGGAGTCAGGGGACCTGGAGCAGAGGAGTCTGACAGTGCAGCAGGTATGGGGGAGGGGTCTTCCAGCAGCTTTGTGAAGAGGGACCCTTTCCCAAAGCCATGGGCCCTGGAGGGCCCTGCTTCCACCACATTTGAGTCACAGCAGAAGACGGAGCTAAGTCACCTCTGGGAGTCCGGTTTCCTCCCCATTTCCTCCCAATGCAACATCCTAATCCCCCTCAAAGCCTTCACCACTCTCCTGGCTCCTGGGTGTTATCCTCAGCAGCACACCTTCCCTGGGCGCCCCTACCCGGGCAGCAGCCAGACACAGCCTCTGGCACCTGGTGGTGTCTCCTTTCCCTGAAGCTACACGGCGATCTCATCATCCAGGCTGTCCCCCAGCTCCTGCCTGGGCAGCACATTCAGCAGGCGCGGCAGCTCCTCCTGGGACCACGAGTCGCGCTCCTCGCTCTCGTCTGTGTTGGACTCGTACTCCGAGGCGATCCCCGACTCTCGGAACTTGAGGAGCTCCAGGCCCCCCAGGAGAGGCTCCCCTTGTGCCGAGGGCAGGGTGTCCTCGGAAGGGAGGAATCGGAAGCACTCCAGCTTCACCAAGCAGTCGCGCCTACCTAAGGGGCTGCCCGCAGGGGGCGCAAAGTCAGCCAAGCCCGCGCCCAGCGGCTGCGGCGAGTGCAGGTCTTGCGGCTTAGGGGTTGTGGGGTCACAGAGCACCGGCAGGGCTCCCGAGCGGAAGGTGATCTCCAGCAAGCTGTCCTGCGAGCCCACTGTGGGGAGACAAGAGGACAGGGGGCAACGTCAGGCAAGGCTCTCTTTTGGAAAGCTAGACGGGCTGGAGGTGTGGTTCACTGGTAGCATGTACAAGGCCCAGGTTCCGTTCCCAGCACCATCAAGGAAAAAAAGAAAGAAAGAAAAAATGATTCCCAAGGACCTTTCCACCGCACCCCCACCTCCACCCCCAACCAGCAGCTCTAGGGAGCAACTTCCAGAGACTGGCAAAGACCGCAAGAGAACCACGGGATGGTTTAGGAGGCCACTGAATGCTTTGCCCGGGGTTTGTGGTGGGGAATGGGCACCAGCTCAGTGCCAGCCTCTGGGAGGCTGAGTCAGGAGGATCCCAAGTTCGAGCCCAGCGATTTGGTGAGACCTTGTCTCAAAATTAAAAAGGCGGGGGAGCTAGGGATGTAGCTCAGTGCAAAGACTCCGGGTTCAATCCCCAATACTGAAAAAAATATTTGATGATGTTTTTTATCAATCAGCCTTAGTTAGGACAGAGCAGAACCTCAACAAACCAACCTCTGGACAAGCTAGAGAAGCTTACAGAATGGTGAAGTGGTGACCAGCCTTTGGGTCTTTTCCAAAATATAGACTCCCATCCCTGCCCCAGCTCTCCTGATGAGAAATCTCTAGGCCAGACTCAGTGATACACATTGTTTTTTTAAGCCCATGAATTAGTTTGGGAGAACTACTGGTATAGATGGAAAAAAAAATGTTTGTTTTGCAGTTAGATCAGGTTGAGAATCTTGGCTCCACCCATGTGACCTTGAGCTAGTTACCTAACCTCTCTGTTTCCTTATCTGTGAAATGGGTATAACAACATCTACCACTATAAGGATTAAATGACTTCATATGTATAAAAATACTCTTTCACTATTTCTGGCACTATTGGTGACCAATGGATATTTATAAGTCCACCATTGCCACAGACTCCTAGCGTGCACAGAGCCCAGGGGTAAGCTCAAGAAGAAGGCAGGAGATGTGCCACTTCCTACTGCTTTCCCAGCCTGGAGGCGGCCGGGTGCACAGGCAGCACTTCTGCCACTGACCAGCAGAGCTGTCTGGCTAGACTGACTGCTGCCTTGTTTATGAAGTGGAAATACAGCTCTCACCTTTTTCTGTGCAGCAAAAAATAAAATAGTGCAGAAATATAATCATGAAATATATAGTGCAGAAATATAATCGTGAAATATATAGTGCAGAGAGTTGGCTTCTAATCAGTTTGAGATCTCCCAACAGAGCTCACAGAGAACAGGACACCTGATAGGTGTTCTGTATATGTTGATTGGAAAAGCACTCTGAGAAAGAAATGGGCTGCCTTAGGACACACAATGCCCAAGCCCCTGTCAGGCAGAGGCCAGATGAGCACGTGGGAGTGACTTCTAGGGACACCGAGGGCCAGGGGTGGTTGTGAGATTAGAAGACAGCCAAGGTCTGCTTTGACCCTCAGTGGTGTGATGCATGACATATACAGACAGGGCAAACAAAGAGCCTGTTTTCACATGGGAAGGTCAGGGGCCCAATAAAGCATCCTCCAAAGCCTTAGGGAAGTAACATTTGTTTCCCAGAGCGTGCACACAGGGAGGTGAGGGAGGTTGGGCAGGGTTCCGGCTTACTGGCATTCTGTCCTGACAGCTTCAGCTCCAGCTCCTGAACCTGCTTGACCAGCAGGGAGATGTGCTGGAGCATGTCCTTGTTCTGCAGCAGGAGCTGGTGCACACGAGCCTGGGCCTCCAGCCGTGCTGCAGCCTCAGCAGCCAATTGGTCCTTCAGCAAGTGAACCTGAAGAGAAGAGGAGGCAGGGAGGACAGAGGGAGACAGGACAGAGAGGAGAGAGGGACATGAATGCAAATGAGGATTGCTGTGCAAGGCTGGGACCAGAGACGGCCTCTCCATTTAACTCAAGATGAAGACTTGGGCTGGGGATTTAGCTCAGTGGCACCGAGCCTGCCTTGCAAGTACAAGGTCCTGAGTTCAATCCCCAGCACTGGGGGAAAATTTTTTTTAAAAAACTGGAATATTAAAAAAAAAAGATGAAGACTTGTGCAGCAAAGTGGACACTTGGGCTCGTGGCTGTGGGAGCCAGAGGAGCTGGGTCACTGGGCCTGTGACTCTCTCGTAATGTGGGAGGCCATGGGGTGTCACTCAGATACCACTCTGCATCCCACACCAAGGGGCAGGACAGCAAAGAGCCGCCCCCATACACTGCCCTCCATCCCTACTGCAAGAACTCCTTTGGCACCCAACGCAGCACTGCCTTGTTGAGGAGGGTTCTCCCGTCTCACTTGTGCAGCAAACCGCCACATAATCTTTCCTTCCCTCTTCTTGTGTACAGGTGTGAGGACGATTAGGAAGCATAGCTGCTCATAGTGAAAGACACTGTACCCCCAGCACTCTGAGAGGCTGAGGCAGGAGGATCACAAATTCAAGTCCAGCCTGGGCAACTTAGTGAGATCCTGTTTCAAAATGAAAAATAAAAAAAGGACTAGGGATATAGCTCACTACTATATTTCTAAATTAAGGCCTATCTTATATCTGTGGGGACCAGCAGATCCCTTGTTATTTTCCATGGAAGCATTTAGGACCATGATTTCTTCCTGGAAGAGGCCAAATGTTTGCTGAGTGACTCACAGCAGGGCCTCCTCTGACACTATCAGAGTCCTGAGGTAGATCCTCTACAGCAAACAATTCAGGGCCTTTTAGGGGAAGAACAGCAGGCAATGGCACACTTAGCAGGCTCTGGGCCAGTGACGTCTGACCACCTGTTCTGGGCATGTGATCCTCATGTGAAATGGAATTTAGTAGGAGGAGATGGAGAAATAGTGATACTTCAGTTCACGAACTTAATTCTTTCCATGGTTCTGGTTGCAAACTGAATTGGTCACAATCAAATCTAATTCAGTGGTTAGGTTCTGATTATGACCAATTCAGTTTGCGACCAGAACTGTGGAAAAGAATTACATTCATGAACCAAGGCACCACTGTATATAAGGCCTCTGGCTTGAGGAAACCAGGTCACATGGCCAGTAATAATGTCCACACACATATGATACTTGTGCTAGGAAATGAATAAGGAGTCTCCCCAGAGGGTTTCAGGGGGTCCCTGAAGAAAGGGAACTAATAAGTTTGGGGAATCGGACCAAGGCAGTTTATGGGGAAAAGGGCTTTTGTGGATCAAAAGCGTGGTATGGACAAAGGGCACAGGGTCAGGATAGATGGGACGTGGAGTAGAAGGGAAAGATGGTGCAAGGCAGTCACATTAGCTGATTTTCTTCCTCAGACAATAAATATTCTAGGTATCTAAAAATCACCATGCTCTACAGAGTCACTTTTTGTCAGGGACCATCTTACCGAGTCTGACTATGGCACCGAGTGGCCCCCATACCTGCCCCTCCTGGGAGCCCATATTAGGGACATTATACTCTTGGGTGCAGTGGCTGCTTCCCTCTCCGGCCAGATTCGAGGACCTGACCTTGCAGCTGCCTTTGCTTCTGACCAAGTGGAGCTACTAATGAGACTGGCTGCCACTTTCTATTAGTGTTCCCCCAGGATAGGCCGATCCTTCTCCCAGGGAGATGATGCCTGAGGAATCTAAAGTAAAATCTGTCCTCCAAAAAGCACTGGTAAAGACAGAATTGGCATTTTGGTCAAGATGTCAGCCTCTTTACTGTTTCTTACAAACTGAAGAAAGATCTGGAGAGGGGCAGGGAACAGAAAAAGAATTTTAATTTGGGTGTGAGATGGTGGGAAGCTATTAAACCTTTATCTGCCTTGGAAATTGAGGAGTAGAGTCCCCCAAATCCTATTGAATCAAGGAACAGGGCAGTTGCTGTGGGAAGCTCCCAGATGTGCCTGCAGAGGAAGGGCCCAGTCAATCCTCCATGTGCTTGTACTGTTACTTTTTCAAACTAAGAGTATCATTGAAAGAAATCTACTAAACAAGTAGAATTGTTAATTATTCATTTTCTATTTTCTCTAGAATCAGAAATGTCAGGCAGAACTGTGGAGCCAACTTTTCAGTGGATGTAAACAAAAAGCAGAGAATCCTGCATATCACCAGCTGGGGTCTATTGAGGGCCCCCTACACATATGCTATAGGCTCAAGTCCCTAACTCTTAATCTGAACATCCCGAAAGAACAGGACATTCAAAAGCACCAGACCAGGAGCTGTCATGCTGGAGTCTGTTGGTTTCTCCCTAGGCAACTGTAGCTACTTTACTTCCCCTTGGACTCCAGTTTCTACATCTGTCAACTGACAGGGCTGGCTAGGGGCTCAGTCAATTCCATGTACAGTTGGATGCAGTGATCATTACTGGAGGCCACTTGCTAAAGGGTCACTGAAGAAATCTCCAGTTCCCCTATTGTGACATCTGAGAATTAGACTTGAGGATGAAGAAACTTGAGTGGTTCCTTCTTAGAGGAGCCAGAGGAAAAAAGAAGGAAGCTTCTTTTATAGGTATCCAAGTTCCAACAGTAGAGTGCTATCAACATATAAAAAGAGACCTTTGAATCAAATGCTCCCATCACAAATCTCCTGGCACTAAAGTGCCATGAGAAAACACTCCTGAGTCTTAGTGCTCCTCATCCCAGATTACATAAGAATTTTACCTCTGCAAGTGTAGTTACACCATTTCAATTATTTTCAGACCCTGTGAATGTGGAAACCACATCCTGATGCCACTGCCCAAAACTTACACTAATGTGCCCTTATCTTTCTGCATCTGTCAAAAGTGGCACCAGGCATAAGGCTCAAACCTCAGCTGTGAAAGCCTGTGCTACAAGAGAATCCAAACCAGGCCAAAGGGAGAGAAAATGGCCTGGACTTCTTTGAACTATGAAGTGAATGTAAACTTGAACTTGAAGCCCTGAAATGAGGCAGCCTTCCTACCAGCCTTTACCGAGGCGTTGTGCTATGACTCTCTGTGCTTTGTTTCCTCATTCATAGGACAGGAGCAGAATGTACCACCTCCTTCCTCCCAGATGGGATCTTCATTTGTATTTAGCATGCTTTTTCTTCAAAGAAACACCTTTCAGGAAAGCATATTAATTTCTGCAAAGACACATGATAGTGTCTCCTTTCTAGAGCTGTGAGATCTTTGGCAATGACTGTTCCACTCACAGACCGAGTCAGGACACAGCACACAGTGATCTGGTACCAAGGCCACCCTCAGTGCTGGAGTCCATTTCTGCATCCTGGCCACAGCACAGTATGCATCAGTTCAACCCTGCACCCTCCAGCTTTATGCCACTTCCCACAGTTCTGACACCCACCCTCAACCCACCCAGCAACATCAGACCACTCACTCTCCAGCCTACTTGCCTGGACTCCAGCTCCTCCATCAGAAGCGGGGGCAGGGCCAGGCTGAAGTTAGGGAGCAGTGGGCACGTGGAAATGGCAGTGGAGAGAACCAGAGCAATTTGCCCACACACATACACCAGACACATAAGCAGAGGCAGGCGGCACTAGCGCTGTCTCAGCATGCATATGGCAGGGATGTGGGCAGTGCACACCAGGGAGCTAGGGACTGGGAAAAGCCACAGGGACAGATGCTAAATCTAGGGCCTGCAGTGGGGATGAGCAGCATTTTCAACACTGTTCCTCTAACTAGCTATAGCACACACAATGGCGAAGCATAAATAGCCAATTACTTGTTCCTGAACAAGCAGAAGTGGCAGCAGGTAGAAGGAAAATCTTTAAATAGCAATAATGAGCTGCACTAACATTTTCCCATGAGCTAGGCCAGGAATTGGCAAACTATGAACAGACGTGGCCTACTTAATTGTTGCCAGACAGCCATAATGCCCAGATCCATTTGGGACCCATGCAGGCCAAGCCCGCTGCCATGCAGGCACCAGTGACATCCCAGGTTGGATTCAAGGCATGTCTCAAGTCTCATTCACACCCTTGAACTTCAGGCCTATCCAAAAGCAGGAAGCTTGTGCAGCCAGGCAGGCCTCATGCTGGGTTGGGAGAGCAGGTCAGGGGGACTTGGATAATTCACTATTTACACAGTGAGGCTTGATCTGGAAATACTTAAAAAGAGTTGGCTGAACACCTCCTTTGTCACCATATCTTTAAGGCCCAGGCAGTTCCCTTCAAGACCAGCTCTAAACAAATTTAGGGTGAGGTTGGGAGAGGTCTTGAGGGGTTAGACCAAATCTGAACACTGTGGAAGAGACCTAAGTCTGGTTGCAATGGCAACCGCAGAACCAGACTGGCTTGTGAGAGTCAACGGGGCAGAAAACATAAATAATGCAACAAGTGACTCCAAGGCTACACCTGTCTGCAGAAACGGGGGCTTTATCCTTAGAATTTTGTTCAGGAACAACATAGGAGAGCTTGGATGCTCACAGAGAAAGGGAAGATACGTTCTACCTGAAATGCTGAGGTCACAGTTTTACTCATTGAAATTCTGAGGACTGTTGGTATTTTAATGAAGAAAGTCAGAAACTTTGCTTTCTGCTGTCAGGAGAGTCTGACAGAACAAGTACAATCTGATCTCATACTGGAAACTGGAATCAGTACTGCTCAGGCAGAGAAACCACACATGCTGCAGTTGGTTTATTCCCAATGTGTCAAAGATGCTAAGATGACCTATTAACCACCTACATATCTTACTTAATTGTCTTACTCAAGGCTATGGATGCTAATTTTAAAAAAACCCATGGGTCAAATCCTACAAAGAGCGTGGAAGAAAGAGTGTGCAAAGAAACCTCTAACCAAAGGCTGGTTTAGGACCAAACCCACCTGCGGGAAAGCCAGCTGAGGGGACAATACTCTGCCTACAAAAGCAAGATGCAGACAGAAGGGAAGCAGGGAGGGGCTGACTGATGGGGACCCCAGAGAGTAGTAGAGGAGCATGTTCAAGAAGCTGTCAGATGACCTCAAGGTCCTGTCTAAGGTCCTGGAAATCTACCGCACTACCCCAAGTCAGGACATGGATGCTCAACAGTGACTCTTTGGTGGCCTTCATCGCGTTGCGGCTTGAACTGAGGCAAGCAGGGCACTGCCAGCTTCATCCAACAGATTCCAAAGAAATGAGAGGCTAAGGCTGAGAGTAGCTCATGAAGCAAACCCCAGACACCACACTGTTCCCTTCTCCTGGACTCATTGTTTTCTAGCAGGGAGGCAATTATTTAAAACAGGGCCGGGCTGAGAAGGCCCTCTGAAACACATGCTTGATTCCATGCCAGAAAAACCACTCTAGGTTTTCTAGGGTTACCTATTAGCTGTGGTAGACCTGTGATAAGGTACAGGTCTTACTGCTTTGTAGATTCAGTTTTACTTCAATTGCCACAACACTCTTGTTGTGTGTTGATTACACATTTGCAAATAGTTTTTCTTAAATACTTAACAGTGACTCCAAGTTATCAGAGAGAAAGTCTTTCTGATAATATAATATCATGAATATGCATCAAGCCTAGTCTTAGATAAATAATAATTACTTGGCAATTGATACGCTGTAAGAGAAAAGAATGATAGAGAATGGATTTCTTTTCAATAGGCAACTTTTGGAAATGATGTGTCTCAGAAAAGACCCAGTGCTGGAGTGCTCAGGCTTTGTGCTCCTGTCATCCATCAGGCTAGGGAAGGGAAGGGGGGATTTTCAGACTGGCACACCATTATTAACCACAGGAAATAAATGCTTTTGACAAAGAGGACTGATTTTTTTCTCCAAATATAAGAAGCCACTAATGATATTCCCTCCTCTCTTGCTGTCTGGGAAACATCTGCAAATCGTCCTAGCACTACCATATATCCTTTGGATTCACAGTCAGAATTTCTTTTAAAGGCTCTAGATCCTTGAGGACAACGTCTCACTGATTCAACTCTACTGGGTGCCAAAGTCACCCATGAGGCTGGTGTCTCAGGGCCAGTTTGGTCGAGAAGGACATAAGAAGGCCTTTCCAAGGTCAAGTCACAGCAGATCTGGTCTCGGCTAAGCTGCTGGATACTTCCTCAAGATGTACCACCATTGGAAAGGACAGCTCTGCCTGGGGGATTCACTCCCCCCAGGAGCCAGGAAAAGAATATGCAGATGATACAATGAGGATCGACAAACGCTTTCTGGAGAACTCTGCACCCTGGATTTCAGGATGCAGAAAACTGAAGCACTCAGTCTGGCCAAGTGGATTTAAACGCCTATGCCTACAGCTGCCTTTCCAGTCCTCTCGCTATCTCTCCCAAACCCCGACTGCCTCATTCTCCTAATTATCTTCATCCACCCACTAAAGTGCTGAGCCTACCTGACTCTGACCTCAGGAGTCAGACTTTAAGTGGAATGGGTGAATGTGTCTTCACCATTCCTAATTATCCAGGTAGAAAGAACGCTCAAACTTGTAAGTTCAAGATGCGGACTGCAGTGCCCTCCACAGAAAGCAAACAGTAGGAATTTCTGCTAATAGCTGGAAGAGAAATCAGCTCACTTCTCTCCTACTAAGTAGCAGTAGCCCAACAAGCCTTCAGGGCACAAATACCACCTTGATCCAAGAGGTAAGCCAATTCTTCTCATTATGGCTCAAATAATCTACCTAGAGTTCTGTAAATTCAATCTCATTATAATGAATTTCAAGGCTAGTATTGCATCAAATACTGCCTGGAGTAAATAGAACACAGGTGGAGGCTTGGACACCTGTTATGGACCAGAAGGTTGAGATGCAAGGGCAGTCAATAGTCTTTGCAAAGATGTTCTGCACAAATTTATACTTTTGGGTATTTTGAGAGTGGTATCTTAAAGTCTCACTTGTCCTACTCCCAAAGCATCCTTTCCCAACTCAGACACCAGGAAAATAAGATAGGAAAGGAAGGGTGAAATTGTGTGCATCTTTTTCCTTGGTAAGTTCATGTCATTATCCAACACATCCAGCCAAGCCAGCCAAGCCCAGCTCAGAGCGGGGGATACATGGGAAATAAAAATGTGTCTTTCCATTTCACTCACATCCCCAATCTCTCCCCCCAGCCCCTCCACTTCCCCATCTTCCCAACAAGCAATGATCCAATAGCATGAGCGATTTCTTCTGACTCCCTAGGGTTAAACCTGCCCTGAGCCCCTTGCTAGGGAAGGCGCGTCAAGCCCATGAGAGTGGAGCCTGTGAAGTAGGGAGGAGGCTGAGGAGAACCTGGGCCACAGCCACTTGTGTCTGCTGCTGCTGCTGCTGGAGGAGCTGCTGGAGGAGCTGCATCTGGTGGTGGGTGGACAATGGAGTCCCGGTGCCCAGGCCTGGAGGCTTCGAGGCGGAGGAAGGCAGCAGCATTCGGGGTGAGGCTGTCAGCATGGGGTCCTGAGGGTGGGGGGAGACCTGAGTGAAAAGAGAAGACAGGATGTGACACTGGTGCAGGGCCACCTTTAGGGCCGGACTCTTCGTGACATTGCATGGGCAGAGTGAGGTGGCCCGCCTGGAACACATGAGCTAGAGACGGAATGGAATGGGGCTCTGGAGAAGAAGCAGTTGCTGCCCAAGCATAGACCCCATAGCCAGAAAGGTGCATCTGGAACTGATTCCATGGGGTGAGAGACTGGTAGGTGCTCCTGCCCCAGTTCTTACCCACCGCTTCCCTGTCACATTGGACTATTGAGTTCTTTGAGGTTCTAGACTTAGAAGAATCTATTTCTGTAAACACATCTCTCTACCACCTCACTGTGAGGAAAAGACGGGGGCAGCTCAATCTGTTCCTTCATTCTGTCCTTAGGGTTCCCTCCTGCAAGGTCTGAGATGCTTCCCATGAATCAGGCACTATAGGAAGAGGACCGGTGAGGGGTAGCTGCCTCCTGCCCTCCTCCATCTCTCTGCACAGCAAGAACCACCAGGGAGGAACATCTGGACACAGAATGTTAGATGACAGCAGTGGCTGGGTCCTCCTCCTGTTGGACACTTTCACTAAGTCTTCTATAAGGGCAGCTCCTAAGACTCAGGGCTCAAAGGCAGGGTGACCCATTTCATTTCTTGTGGTTCTATAACTGGTCCCTCTTTAGACATACAAGAGGACAGCATGCAGGGACAGAGGGCCACTGTCCCTTGTAGAGGACTAACCAGGTATCCAAGAGAACATCAGCCACTGCCCTCCTACCCACCCAGATTTCTCCTTTTGATGAGCTGGCCTGACAGCCTCCACCTGAGTCAAGGCATATGCAGGGTAAAGAAAGGGCCCCTACAATACAGTGAGCTGGCTGCAAATCCAAGGGGACAGCTGTTGGGCAGTAATCTTCTTTCTGGTTTTTTGTGTTTGGTTGCCTTTAAGCTCAAATTTGGTCTCAAGTTCTTAGTTGGTTTTTGTGTATATATGTGTGTATGGTGCTATGGATTGAACCCGGGGGCTTCACACTGAGATACATCACCACCCCTAATACCCTTGCTTTTAATTTTAAAACAGGGTCCTGCTAAGTTGCCCAGGCTGGGCTCAGAATTACAATCCTCCTGCCTCAGCCTCCCAGAGTACTGAGATACAGGCCTGTACCATCATGCCTGGCTAAATTCTTAGTTTTTTAATCTGGATCATATTAAGAACTCTGAAAGCCCTAGTCATCGCACCTGTAGGATGCTAGGCTGGAGCTGATGATGCCTATCCTAAGGTGGTCTCTAGGCTTCTTAGATGCAACGTGCCAGTTTCCAAACTCAACCGTGATGTTACACAGGAGCATTAAAGGCACACAACCACTAGAGCATGCAGAGAGGCCTGAACAGATGTGGGGCTCCCTCAGCTAGGTCCTGGGGATTATGTGTATCATGTGCACATGCCAGGACCAGCCTTGCACCAATACTATGCAGAGATGAGATGTTTCTGTGGGGGGAGAAGAAAGAAATCAAAAACTGGTGGGCTCCTGGGAGGATAATACGCATCAGAAATGAGCCGCACAGTACCCTGACACACGGCAGTGTCAAGTGTGGCACATGGAGACTTTATCTGCAGAAGTCAGGCCCCCTCAGAGGCCATGAGCCATGCTCCAGGACAGCTACTGTGTTATGCCCAACTCAGAAGCTGAGCGGCAGGAGCTAGGAGGCGACTCTGATGGCCTGAAGCTGAGGCTAAGCCTGAGGCTATGACACAGGCCACTAGGGAGGCAGCAGGGACACACGTGTGCAGATCACCCGGATGGGCCACACCCTGCCCACCTTGGAGTCTGAGCGGGAGCCTCCTTCCTTCCCTACAGCATCCAGGTCCGTCACTCCTCGGCTGAATTCCAGGACCTCGTTCCCTGGGAGTGGGACCTCTACTGCGTCGATGTCAGTCTCCTGCGCGGCAGCTGTGGAGGCCCTCTCGGCTCCAGTGAGCTGGCAACCTGCAGGCAACAGAGAAGGAAATGGTGACATTCAAGAGCAGCACCTTCCTTACCTAAAACTTCAGCCATATCAGCCCAGGGGACGCCACGGACTTCACACCTGTTTCACACATCTTTCCATTCAGCCACATGAAAAACCTTTCTAGCCCCAAATGTTGTTCCCACTTTAAGAGCTTTTAAAAGTGCAGACAGACGTAAAGGGAACCTTTTCACGAGACTGGATGTGTCAGTTTTGCCAGGTTGGCACTTTTCTAGCCATGGGGTGTGGGGGTTCTGGAAGAAGTGGGTATATAGAGTCATCACCTCCTCTCAGCTCAGGAATGGGATGCAGCCCAGGGAAACTGCGCTGTGTGGAAGTCCAGAGACATGGAGACTTGTCCCAGCTAGACCCAGAATGAGCTGTTGGGTACAGAGCAAATCATCTCATTCCCGAGGCTCAGCTTCTTGAAGTACGGTAGAGGCTCAGCTTGAGGGACAGGTAGGGTGCCAACATGGAGGAGCGAGGGCAGGGAGATCTGAGCCCCTCCTAATGCAGTGTCCGTCTCCCAGCCGTCAGAGCCAGATTCATCCTCTCCCCAGAACAGACACCAGAAGAGGCTGTGGGAGGCGGCTGGGGTGGGAGGAGATGGAGATGGCTGCTTTTCCATGCTTATCAGCTAGCTTCTTTACTTTCCACCTTTTTTCCTTTTCCATGTCCTTGATCACGAACATAGCATATTGCTCAAAATCAAACCAAAGTCCTACTATTTTTTCTCTTCATTCCTTGCTCCTCTCTCTTTCTTGGACTCTACAAACACCTGATAGTTCCTGAGCATTTCACAGGAAATATTTTATTGTCCTGTATTTGGGTTTATGTCCATCACTATTGTATTCAAAAGTGAGTTCCTGAAAGTTTTCAGAGACCAAACACTAACTGGAGGATGGAGCAGACTGCCGCAAATGAGAAACACAACGAGCTGACACCCCAATGCTGAATCCAGTCCAGGAAACCAGGCCTCAGGCGTGTGAGAACCTGCCTTTCGGAACAAGTGGTTCTAGGAATTCTTCCCGTGCAAATCCATACCAGTCATCTGGGGAGACAAGTCATAGGCATGCTTATTTTTCTTCTTGGCTGTTCCAGGAAGCAGGAAGACAGCCTGTTGAGGAGTACAAGGCATTTAATAGAAAGGATGGCCCTGATATGGACTCTCTGCTCCTACATGTGCCAGCAGGCAGGGAGCACAGAACAGCGTGTTCACCACCACACTCCTGCACCCAGAAGCAGTCTTGACAATTGATCGGGATGGGCCCAAGAGGCAGAGAGGAATGATGGTGACCCTTGGATGATTTTCAGTAGGTAGATGGTGCTGAGAACTGAGCATCTAGTCCTTCATGCCTGTCTAGGAATAATCAGGGTAAAATGGGCATTCATCTGAACAGGAGAGGTTTCCACCCATCATCAGGTGCAGCTGGGTTCCCATAGCTCCCTCTGCAGCTGGCACATGGCATTAAACATGCCTGGCCAACCCCTTTCCCTGCAGGACTTGAGGTCAGAGTTGTATCCCATTCATCTGTCACCTAAGCATCTGGCTCCAAGGAGGTGCTCATAAATAGCAAAAAGGAAATAGTGTTGTGACAGGGTAGCCAAACAGGGGATTAGGCTATGTAGGATGAGGCTGCCTCCCACAAGCCTATCCCCAAAGATCCAAATAATGAAGACTAAAAAGATCTGGACAGAAAGCTTGGCCATGTCCCTGCCAGAAGCTCAGGTAGGATCAGAAAATCTCTCAGGTTCTAGCCCTGCCTCTGAGGGAGTCTTAAAAACCCAAACTGCTCAGCCATTCTGTCTGTACTGGTGAACTCCAAAACTGTAACTGTGGGAATGCTTTCTGAGAAGCTTCCTACCGCCCACCAGGTACTCAGATGACCACATTTGGAATCTTGTTCACTTAATGGGTGCAGATCAGTGCAGTGGCAGATTGTTTAGAACCAGGAAAGGGAAAGCTACAGTAGACTCTGTGGAGTGTGTGTATTTGTTTCTCATAAAAGATGAGACAGAAATGAGGGCCTCACAGTTAGCGGGCTTCTTCAGGTCCCATCAGATGAAGAAGAAGATCTGGGATCTGAAACTGCTCTACCACCTACAAGCCTGAGAGACAAGAAAAGGCCTGAAAACCCTGAAAAATCTAGGAAGCTTATGGAATGGGGCTTTACAGCTTCCAAATTCTGACAAAGGGGGGTACAACCAGGATTAGGAGAGGGGGTTGGCAATGCTGCTTTCTGAACTACTTATTTCAACTATTTCTACCTGTACATTAAACAGTAACTAGAAGCCATTAGACAAATGCTCATTTTATTCCTTGATTCAATAAGCATTTATTAAGGACACTGAACATAAATATCAATAAGCAAAATCTGTGTTTTTAGTGCTTTCCAGCCTCATGGGAGAAACAGATGTAAACCACAGCTGTGGCCTGAGGGTGTGTTACCTATGAAAGAGAGATCTCAGGTTCAGGACAACAGAGAAACACCTAGCAGGTGGGGGCTCAAGGAGCTGTGAAGAGGAGAAACAACTCATGAAGGAGGGGTATCAGCTAGGGCAGGCGAAGCAGCAGGTGCGGGGCAAGGCAGGTGCAAAGAAAAAGTGGCAGGAAAACCCATGGTAGGTCAAGGGCACCACCAACGGTTCCATAGGGAAGAACTTGATGAAGAAGAGTCAGGATGCACTGAAAGCAGGTAATAGCAAAGGACTGTCATTCTCTAAAATTTCACGCTGCAGATGCTGCGGATGATAGACCCAGAGAGAACAAGATGAAGAACACATGAGAGGGTGATCTAAGGGGGCAGCAGTGCAACAGAAAAGAGAGGACAGATTTGAGAGATCTTCGGGAGGCAGAAACTGCTTGATGATGAACACTGAGGTGGTTTATAATTATTGGCCATTATTAAACAAGTACTGTGAGAGCCGGGTGTGGTGGTGCAGGCCTGTAATCCCAGCACTTGAGAGGTTGACACAGGAGGATTGCTGTGAGTTTGAGGCCAGCCTGGGCTACATAAGGAGTTCAAGGCCAGCCTGAACAACAAAGTGAGACCCTGTCTGAAACAACAACAACAACAACAGCAACAAAACCCCTACTGTCAACATTTGTGGACAGCTCTTTGTAGTCAAATGCTTCCATTTCTCTTGATTTAACACCTAGAGGTGGAATAGTGAGATTGTAGAGTAGATATGTTTAACTTCTAAGGGTCTGCACACTCTTTTCCAAAGTGGTCATGCATAGTATTGTATGGTACTTTCCCCCTTCCCCCGACAGCAGATGAGGTTCTCATTCCTCTGACTTTTTTCCTCAGCACTTGGTGTAGTAACACCCCCACCCCCACGCCCAACCAGGGAGCAAACTCAGGACCTTGCACTTGCCAGGCAGGCACAGCCCCAGGCTACATGCCCGGCCCTTTTTAGCATCTAGTAGGCCTAATACTCATGATACCAAGGTGGTTGGAATTTTCATTTTTCCAGTGACAGGTGATGTTGAGCATCTTGTGTGCCTCCGCTATCTATATATCATCTCTGAAGGGTCTCCTCAAATCTGCCCATTTAAAAAAAATATTTGATTTTTTCTTAACAGTATCTTTCAAAGAATGTAAGTTTTTAATTTGTAGTAGTCGTAATTTATTAATTACAGATCATGCATTTAGTGACATAGGAAATTTTTGTTTAAACCAAGGTCATTTTCTCCTGTGTTTTCTTTAAGTTTTTAATTTTAGATTTTACATTTAAGTCTGTTTCACTTAAAAAGAACTCCAAAATGTTCACTAATTTTAAACATTTTGCCACATTTCACTTATTTTATATGCATGCTTAATTTTTTTCCTGGTACTGGGAATTGAACTCAGGACCTTGTGCTTGCCAGTTAGGCTCAGTGCCACTAAGCCACATCCCTAGCCCTATCCATGCTTATTTTTTCTGAACCATTTGAGACAGGTGACTTATATTATACCTTTTACTCCTCTTGAGCATGTATTTCCTAAGAGCACAAATATCCTTTCAAATCACACAGTATAGTTACCAAGTTATACAGTGAACTTGACTGATAAATATTGATAAATTTAGTCCGTGGTTTAATCTACAGTCCATCTTCCAATTTTGTCCGTTTTCCCAGCAATGTCCTCTACAGCTACATTTTCCCCTAAGGTCCTGTATTGTAGTTAGTTGGTCTCTCTGGGCTCTTAAAAGCTGGAACGTTTCCCTAGCCTTTGCTTTGCATGCTGCCAGTGGCTTGGGACTGCACAGGTCAGCTATTTTGAGCGCCCTGTTGGGCCTGTTTGTTTCCTCCTGCTATTCTAGGTGGGAATGTTACAGAAGCGATGCACCATGTCAAATATCACATGAGAGGGACATCAGGTCTCTTTGCCCCTTTCAGCGGGGGGAGGGGGATAATTTAGGTGAATGATTGCAGGGTTGGCTAAACAACTGTCTGAGGCCTGAGGGTGTTGGCAACTTGTGTGCAATGAGTTTTCAAATTTCTGATTTAGGTGCCCTGGTGAAAAATGGCATTGTACAGGGAAAATTCAGCAGGAATAGGAATGTAGCTAAGAGAATGAGTTCGAGTTTTAAACCTGCTGAAATTGTAAGAGTGTACATGGAAGATCCAAAGGAGATCCCATCACATTGCCGGGTATGTGTTATGGACTGCATGCTTGCATCCACTCAAAATTCATATATTGAAGCCTTAACTCCCTATGTAATGGTATTTGGATATAGGGCCTTAGGGAGGTAATTAGATCACCAGGGTGAAGCCCAAATGATGGTACTGGTACCCTCATAAGAGGAGTCATGAGAGGTTTTCCTCTATAGCATGAGGAAATGCAGCAGGATAGCAGCTGTGTGCAAGCCAGGAAGCACTCACTAGGAAGTGAACGGGGCAGCACTCTGACCTTGGACTTGCCAGCCTCCAGGACTGAGAAATGAAAGTCTGTTGCTTAAGTCATGCACAGTGTTGTATGACAGCCATAAAAAGAAC